GTGTGTATGTATGTCTGTATATACATATACAACGATACATACATCGTTGTAATCTGGAATGGTGGGCTCTCCGTTGGCTGTAAATCCTATCTTCGGCGACACATCGTCGAACTGAACGATTGCGCGTAGAACATCCACCAGAATGTCAAGGAACAACTGTCATGTGTATCACGGAATAATGAGACAAGGATTATTGTGTGACCAATTGGACTAATTTCAACTCCGAACAACTCCGAACTCTACGTATAGGCTCTTATCATATCTCGCATCCAAATATCAAACACATCGGCATGTGTGCATAATCAACGTTATATAAATGCAATGCGAAACTGTTTGGCCTGGTTTCGGCTTACATTTATATAACGTTGACTACGCACGCATGCCGTTGTGCTTGATAATTGGATGCGAGATATGATAAGAGCCTATACGTAGAGATATGAAGAATAGTGGCATACGTGACTTATCAACAAACTACCGTGCGGATCAAAACTACCTCCAGCTACCTCGCAATACATTCGTAATACGCTGACTAAAACCATATGTCGTGTACTTGGTGATTGGATGCGAGATATAATATGAAAATACTATATGTAGAGATGTGTATGACGGTGTCAAGTACGCGACATTAATATATGTTTTGAGGTAATATCACCGGATATCAGATTGTTTCTTCGGTGCGGATCACACAGACCTGAAACCACACTAAACCACACCGTATTACACCATACAACGCTGACCATGGATACAAGTACAAACCGTAAGCGTATCGTTTTACTGTTACCTTGCTGTCGTATTCGCTCTGCCCTCCCTCTAGGGCGGCCTCCAGGTTCATGGGGGTTTCGCCTTCGTTCAACTCGATCAGACGGAGAGGCTCAGGGATCTGGTTGCCATTGACGTCCAGCACAGCGTCGCCGGTGATTGGATTGTACCTACAGATGTATGCATACCTTCTTTTAGTGATGATAGTTTCAACAGAAACTTGTGTATGTTTGAATATACATATATTATAGAATTGAAAAAAACTGGAACAAAAAGTTTTAGAATCAAGACTGGCAGTGGCCTAGTGATCGCGACGACCACTGCCTGTGTCAGAGAGATCAAAACCTAGCCTCTAGATACTACCATGCGTTTTGCCAAAAGGCAGATCTTCTAACATATACGTATTGCTTGGGTACGAGGAGACTCAGAATGCTTGTGGGCGTGTATACTGACATTACGCACAGGCGGATTATATGCGTGTCAAGTGTTTGTACAAAACACCCACGACACATACATATAAAAATACATAACGAGAGCGAGGCAGAGAACCACATACTTGATAAGCGGTTGCCCATTGCTGTACTTATACACACGCATTCCAGACTCGAGATATCGGATTGTATCCCAGACCATCTGTGTGTAGGATTGAATATTGGGTGTTCTAATATCCGAAAGATGTGGGACTGCTACTAGCCTTAAACTAGAAACTGTGCTGGACTATGTGGTGTAGGTGAAAGATGATGATGGTAGACTGAACAAGCACTGCGAAGCCCAATCCATACGAAACCCTCGAAAGTGCGGAACGCTATGCCAAAAGGTGATATGATTGTTCGTGTACAGCCAAAGATCTCTCCTCTTGTGAGCTACAAGAATACAGAGACGTAACCGTGAAACCGTACGCCAAATTCCATAAAGGGTGAATCAAATAACATAACACCGCGAAAATGTACACTGTATACGATCCTTCCCTTAACTTCACTGTACAAATACCAAAGTGCAAAACGTACGTTATACTCCATCAATGCTATAAGAAGCAGTCGTAGAGCAGAAGGCCACAGATTAAACACTGCGAATACGTGCCGTGTTCTCCATACGTATTATGAAGTTCTCCTGCAGCCCACAAGGGTACAAGCGCAGCACTGCCAACACGTACTCGATACTCGATACATGATACGACATTCCCCCATTAGTCGGACAAGAGTATAAGTACATGCTAGGACCGCACACTTTATAAACATTTTATGAATATATATTATATCCAACTATCAAATATATATTCTTCGCATGTATTATGAATCTATATATATATATATATATATGTATATATATATATATATATATATATATATATATATATATATGTGTGTGTGTGTGTAGTATAGTATA